TTCTGAAATTAATTCTAACATAACTTTTGATTTTTTAACCCTGTATACCAACATTCCCCATGTGAAATTATAAAATTGTTTTGAATAAACATTGAACGACAAAATTTCTTCTTATGTGACGTTTACATTTTCTGACGTATGAAAAATGAATGTGGTTTTTAATTTGATAGATGCTTTTGTGCTTTTTTGTAAATGATTGTTTGTTTTGATATTGTAACACAGTGATGACTGCTGTACCCATATTTTGACTATTTTATTTATTATGTCTGTTTTGTTCACGCATCGTTGTAAATATAACGGAATTTGATGAGACTGTCGTACAAGTGAGAGGTTTAGCGCTATAAAACCAGGTTCAATCCACCATTTTCTACATTTGAAAATGCCTGTACCAAGTCAGGAATATGACAGTTGTTGTCCATTCGTTTGATGTGTTTTGTCATTTAATTTTGCCATGTGATTAGGGACTTTCCGATTGAATTTTCCTAGGAGTTCAGTATTTTTGTGATTTTACTTTTTTTGTATTATACCAAGGTTTGTCTATATTGAGAATTTTTACATGTCATACCAAATACATTAACAGATCATTGTTTTAAATATATCACACAAATTATTCACAACTGTATCAATATCAGACTGTTATATATTTTCTTTTAAGAGCAACTCATCCAACGTAGTTTCTATCTTACGTATTCCATAAATTCTGTTTTCTTATTACTATTCCATCTTATATTTTGGTTTTGTGTAACGATGTCATTTTTTTCATTAACAACTATATCAACCATGAGTGAGAAACTTAACTGACAGTGAACATCTGAAAACAGGGGATTAACATCCTCTACTTTAAACATACTTATATTAGAAAACATATTAGATGATAAAAGCAAGTAATCCACAACACTTGTATCATTGCAAGTAACATTTCCTATATATTTGTTACTGTCCACTCTAGAATTTGCAATGTATAAATTAGACTTCTTACACAGTTCCAAAAGTCTATGTCCAAAAGTGTTAGGTCTAAATTTACACTGTGTATATCTGTACAATGATAGTCCTTTCTTAAAAATATTACTATGGTCAAGAAATATTTCAAAATTTCTTCATCACTATTTTAAAATGTTCATAATCTGTAAAAAGTTATCATCGGGACTACAAAATTCTGGAAAATCAGCGGTTTTGGCATTGAAATTCCCAACCAGTGCATATCTGTTATCATTATCTAATAAAGAAATTAATTCGTTTTCAACTTCAGAGAAGGCATATATGGATGATTTTTTTAATTATCTTGGGGTATATATAGGTATAGTAAAAAATACATAGAGAGAAGTCAGCGTCTATGTCATCACTGCCTATCACATGGATCAAATTCTATTGAAGATGAGACCCATTTCACAGTAAGTTGTCCTTTATATAACGAACAGAGAAAATTATTATGGGATAAAGTAAACAGTTTTTGTAATAATTTTAAAGAATTACCCAAGGATAAAAAATATTTCTGGCTGTTCACAAATGAGCATTTACCAACTCTTATGTGCCTAGGCAATTATATAATTAAGTGTTTAGAAATAAGATCCAGGTGGATACAAAATATATAAAATTATTATGCAATTATTGTTAATGTTATGTAAGACACATGATGTGTTAGGCTCTGATCCTGTCCAATATATGATAGTATTATATTAGGATATAGTTTTTCTTTTTTCCAATCATATTGTGCTTAATATTGTTGTAAATGATGCCCTTTATGGGTTCTTGATTAGATTAATAAAATTCTTATTCTTATTCTTATTCTTATTCTTATACACATCCTAGCAAAAACTCATCTTTAAAAAGATCTCTAGAAAATTTAACCCATTGTAAATAATCAGAATCTGTTTTAGGAAATTTTAAGTAGTTTTCAAACTCTTTTTAAAAAACTACAGTTATACCACCAGATTTTCTACGAAACTTATTTCTATATTTTGAAATATAATTATAGCCATTTGGTATATTTAATATATCTAATTTGTCTTGTTTTGTTTCTAGAAAGAAATAAGATATCATGTGACGTTATTAAAACTTCAAAATCTGGTATCAGTAATTTTGACTTGATCACACTCTTAGTCTCTTCTTGTTCTTTTTCCTGGTCTTGATAGTATAGGTGGGCTTTGCTGAATGTGTTTGTTAATACTGTCACTGCATTTTCCGGTTCAGCAATGAACTCTTTTCCGTCGATGTATAATTTATCTCTAGCTAGGTTCACTCGTTTCCCGTCTTGCCTCGCGTTCTTCATAACGGGATATAAGTTCTTGCGTCTTGCCTCGACTTCGGCTGGGAACTTCTCCTTGATACCGAATGGTTTCCGTTTTAGATAATATGCTCTATTTAGAACTGTTTCGAGATCTTTCCGATAGATAAAGCGTGCTACGATCGGTCTTACGCCATTTAGTCCTGGTTTTCCAAATCTGTGACTATTTCCGAATTCCTTTTTTTTTTAACCATTTTAAGTTCATAATACAAAAATATTCTAAGCTTTTCCTCAACTTGTTCTTCTCTTTGATAGTCTAGGCCGGAAAATATCAGGTTATTTTTCATAGACCTACACTGAAGATCAACTATATGCTCTTCTAGGCGTTTATTTTTTTCCGAGTTGTTTGATATGTTCGGCTTATTTTTATCTGCCTCAATTTTCAACAATTCATCTTTCATTTCATCTATTTCTTCTCTGTTTTCTTTACAACGATCGATGACACCATCAACTACAGAACTCATACCTTCCACGCTGTTCTCAATTTTTGTATTTCGTAAATTTACGATCCTTTCTATATCAGTAAGTTTTTTTGAAAAAACGATCGTTATTTTTGAATTTTTGTTCAATTGTAACCATACTTTCCATTAAACGGATAACTGTTATCAATATATCTGTTAATACGTTTGAATCCGTCGATGAATGTGTCGTATTGGTGGTATTCTGGCTCATGATTACTATGTTGCGTTAAAGAAAATGGAACTATTCTTTAAAATATCTTGCAGATTATTTACCTTGCGATTCATGTTGTTTGTCTATACTAAATGTATAGTATATTTAAGTATGTAGACAATCAATCATCATTTATTCAAGTACCTTGAGACATGTATATGTCATTTATAAGTCATTAGAAATATTTATATATAAGGTTTGGAATGCACATTTTTTTGTGTTAGGATTTCAACGAAATTTAGATTTAGATATAATCGCTCACAGATATTAGGGGCAAATGAATTTCTTTTTTTCTAACTTCAGATATTTTATTGCACTAATAGTTGTTAACACTGCCGCTAAATGCTACATCAATGACACTAAGGTTCCTCTTGTATTGTTAATTTCTTTCTTTAAAAAATTCAAGTTATACAAAGCAAATTATAACGTAATTTCTGTATGGATTCATTAGAAACCATAAAAAACTTATTCTAGTCTTACAGTCTTAAAAATTTCGAGCACGATTATAAGTTTTATGACCGTAATGCCAAAAAATCAAAAGAAGAAATCTAAAAGCCATGTTTGAGGTTTTAAAGTTAGGAAGATTACACAATTTGTCTATTAAATACAGTTAGACCTATTTGATAAAATGGCCGTGCCCGCTCTTTTGTACGGTTGCGAAATATGGGGAACAGGTAACGACGATATCTTTGAAAGGGTTCACTTAAAGTTTTGTAAGATGCTTTTTGCTGAAGATGGCAAAATATCCAACATGAAAAAAGAATCTGCACATTATGCGACTTGAATGAAATTGGTGACGAATTTCATTACATTATGTCATGCAGGAAATTTGCCAACATCCGAAATTTATTTATTCAAGAAAAATTTTCAAAACGTCCAAATACACTTAAATTTAGTAATCTTATGACCTGCAAAAGAAAATCGATACTTTCGAAACTCTGCAAATTTATTAAAATTGTTAATAAAGGGTTGTGTGATCCGGGCTGACATCTCTCTCATACATGTTGATTTGTTGATTTGTTAGTAATATTATGTGTTCTCTGTACCATTCCAATGTAAATGGTTTATTGAGAAATAAAGATATATATATAGACCAGTTACCCTGTACATATGAGAAACCAACATCGTCAGCAATAGTTGTTTACAGTAGTTGGAGACATATTCTCAGTTCTCGATGAATTACTGTGGTCAAAAACATTATTTTTCCAATCTTTAATAAATATGTCGTCCTTTATTGACAGGTATTAGGGAGTTATGTGTAAATTTATGTGTATTTGTCGCTCCTGTTACGCAGGAAATCTGCGTCTGAGTGTATTTTGAATAAACAGTTAAACAGTAAAAGAAACGTTTGTTAAAGAATTAAACTACTGACAAGTTCTAAATCCAAATAATTTTATTACTTAGATCATCAAAGCCAGGAAAAAGTACCAGTTCATTCTGTATCCAACATTCGAATGTAAAGTTTTCAATGAAGTATGACCTACAAAGTTAAGACAAAATCTCTTGATTATAGATTTCATTTCAGCATTAATGAAAAGATTGTAGGTTAGACAGGACGATGAGGGCATATTGTGTAGAATTTATGACGAATGATTTAGATATTCAAAAAAAATATTTAAAAGTCAAATTTTAAACGTTGGAAAGCATTAAAACCAAAGGGTTAACTTGTGTTAAATGAGTGATACGTGTTCTTGTTGAGTCAGACGAGCCTCTAGTTCGTACTGAAAATTGCATGTAAGTGTAATAAAGCGAAAAATATAAGACAAAAATCCAGATCAAATATTATATCAAATTGAAAAGAGATATCGGCAAAGAAGAGGTTCGATACAGTGTTGATTCACTTTCTGTATTATTAAATGTGAAACTCTAAATGCCAGGACATAATACTTCAAAAGGTTAGCAGAAATCACTTTGAACAAATTGATAGTAAAACAGGCCATTCCAATTACTCAGACAAACATCCGACTGCTCCGAAAAACTGTCTTAGCCAAGTAGGTAAATGCTGTTCTACAGTAAATCGGCTATCTATTCATAAAAAAATCAATAAAATTTGAAATTATTTTTAATTTTCGTCAAAAACTTTCATACCCAGAAATAAATTTGAACACCCTTAAATCATCCAAACTTTGTATTTGGTGGATAAAGATGTTATCTTTCCTGTAACAGCTGTTTCTTTTTTTAAATATGGCCTTTTCTAATAAAAATTAACAGAAGTGACATACAATCTAACCATGCCTACACCAAAATCCAACTTCTTTGTCAATTTTAAAAGTGTTATGTTCATTTTAAAAACAAGAAACAGCAATCTTGGTATTTATGAGCTTTCCAAAAATAAATATGCCAAGTTTTAAAGAGATCAATAAATATAAACGGGGTGCCAATGCCATCTTTATAAATGAATGATACTCAAGTCCTTTTGACATGTCACATGCAACGAATATTCCTATACACATGTAATATATTGTGAATTACAATATATACCAGTTAGCACATGCAGTTACCAGCCTTCCAAATGTGATGTTTGAATTATGATTCTCACTTATTTCACTGTTTGTGTATAGATTCAAAATTTTCTCAATAACTGGCATATTATGAATAATGATGTGAACATTTCCTTTTATGTGTTGATCTCACAAGAAAGAAGTGCACAGTCATTTCCTTTGATTTAATACTTTTCTTTGTCATCAATGATCCAGAGTCAGTTTGAACAGTCATGTAATTCTTCCTTTTGTTGTCATACTGAAAATTGCTTCATTCCAAAAGTCACATGTGACATGGCATGGGTTATTTCATATTAAGCACTGTTATAGTTTAGTTATATGTTCTCAAGCTTTTATCTTTAAAACATTCATTTCACTTTCTTTTCATGCATAGGTCTAAAACTATCTCAATATATGGTTATAAATTGTCTGACACCTTGTGTGTGTTGATCTTCAAAGGAAACAAGTGGTTACTCTTTTTTTCTGATTACTTTTTCCAATTTCAGTTTGCCTCCAAGTCATCTTAATACATGTACTGAAAAAAAATATGTAAACATTCAATGGCATTTTAAAGTTATTGGTTTAGTTTAAACATATTTTATTTGCTAAATATCAGCAAAAGGGATGAGACAAAAGTAAATCATACTTATGAAGTCTTCTCCATATTACAATACAAGTATATATACAATAATAAAATTATGAGCATGCATGTAAAGCGAACAAATTCATTAAATATTATACGAACTATAAATAAAAAGAAGAAAGGAACAAGAAGAATGGAAAAGGATGAAAAGAAAAAGAAGCAAGCATATTTTCTGTGATGATGACTTCGGTTTGATGGTGATGATCATCCGTGGCGGTAGCAATGATATTTTATGAAGATACTAGAAATCTGTTAGACCTTTTAATAAAATCTTGAACATGTTTGAAAATTAGGAGATTTTGTTCATTCGAAAGTTCAAGGTCTTCGCAAGTTAATAGTTTAGTATCAATAATAAAAATTTTCAGTAAGCCAATTAAGATTGTTAAGTAAAATTTCTCTACATGTAGTGTATTTTGGGCAAACTAAATTACAAGATTACACAGGTACTCAGGTGCATGTTTTTATTCATATTATAAAACATCTGTAATTTTCTTCTTCTTCGTCTTTCATATAAAGATTCCCAGACAACCTCAGAGTACAGAGTATCAGTTTTAGTGAAGATTGGTAGACCTGTTACAATCATTGCGGCTTCCAATTGCAAGTTTTCTAATTTATTTGAATAACATATCCCACAATTATCCCACACTTCCGTGGCATATTAAAAAATGGGTCTAATAAAAACTAGATAAATTTTTTCTAAATTATTACGAGACAGTCGATATTTAAGTTTACGCAGAACATTAAGGTGCTTCTGTACACTTGTAATTATACTTTCAATATGATTGTTCCATTTTGCGCCACAACTAAAGGTAACTCCCAGGTGCTTATGCGATGTATTTATAGGGATAGTTTTATCATTTAGGGAAAAGTTGAGATCTGGTATCTCGATATTTGAAAATATCATAATTTCTGTTTTATCAGGATTAAATGACATAAGCCATTTAGTTGACCAAACATCCATCTCTTTCAGGTCGCGGTCGATCACAGATTTAATCTGTTCACCATCGCTACCGGAATAACTGAATGAAGTGTATTCTGCAAATAGCCTACACAGCGATGTAAGCTTATCAGCAATATCATTAATATATAAAACAAAGAGAAGAGGGCCCAAAACAGATCCCTGGGGGTACACCTGCTGACACATTACAAAAGGAGGAGGACGAATTATGCAGTACTACTCTTTGTTTCCTGTCATGCAGATAATCTTCAAACCACTGTTATAAGGTTCCACCAATCCCATAGGCTTTCAGGTTGTGAATAAGACCTCTATGACAAACTTTGTCAAACGCTTTAGAGAAATCACAGAATACAAAACAGTTTATTTCTTTTTTTTTTCCAGAGAGTTTTTAGAAGATGCAGTTGTATATTTCTAAAAGTTGATGGACAGTTGAATTTTTGGGAAGAAATCCGGATTGATATTCACAAATTAATTTGTTAGCGTGTAGATGGTTATACAAGTGCTTAAAACAACTCTTTCCATTACTTTCCAACACAACTAATAAGAGAAATTGGTCTGTAATTTGAAGGCAAGGATGAATCCCCCATTTTGAAAATAGGTATTGAATTAGCTATCTTCCAACTGGTTGGATATTTGCCTTCTCGTAAAGATTTATTGAATATAATGTTTAGCGGAACTGCAACCTTTTCCGGACACAACTTAAGCATTTTATGGCTGATCACATCAGGGCCTGGTGCCTTGTTTGGATCTAATTTCTGGATAATATATCTATGATTTCTTGTGTATTTATTTTGATTTCCGAAAATTTACTATCAGTTTTTGTTTTAAATTCGGGTAAATTTACATTTTCTTCATCAAGTTTTGAAATCATACTGAAATATTTGTTTAATAAGCTGCATTTTTCCTCATCTTCATATATGACATCATTTAGTCCATTATCATTTATAATATTTTGGAGAGGGGGTATGTTTACCGAATTTTTATTTGATTTAATCAACATTTTCATAAGTTTCCAAGACGTTTTTGAGTTCGGAGAGTTTTCTAGTATAATACTGTCCAAATTTGTTTCAAACTTTTCTTTGGCTATTTTTATGCCCCCGCCGTAGCGGTGGGGGCATTAAGTTTTACCCTTGTCCGTCTGTACGTACGTACGTCCCAAAATTGGTTTCCGTTCTCTAACTTAAGTTTGCCTCAACCAAATGTTATGAAACTTATACACAATGCTTATTACCACAAAATACTGATCAAGTTTAAATTTTTAATGGTGTCACTTTATACGTTCTAGAGTTATGTCCCTTTATAAATGGAAAAATTGCAAAATTTTTAGTTTCCGTTCTCTAACTTAAGTTTGCCTCAACCAAATATATTTAAACTCATACCCAATGCTTATTACTACAAAACACAGATCAAGTTTGAATTTTGGTGGCGTCACTTTAAACGTTCTAGAGTTATGCCCTTTATAAACGGAAAAATTGCAAAATATTTATTTTCCGTTCTCTAACTTAAGTTTGCCTCAATCAAATGTTATGAAACTTATACACAATGCTTATTACCACAAAACACAGATCAGGTTTAAATTTTGGTGGCGTCACTTTAAATGTTCTAGAGTTATGCCCCTTTATAAACGAAAAATTGCAAAATTTTTAGTTTCCGTTCTGTAACTTAAGTTTGCCTCAACCAAATGTTATAAAACTTATACACAATGCCTATTACCACAAAACACAGATCAAGTTTGAATTTTGGTGGTGTCACTTTAACCGTTCTAGAGTTATGCACCTTTATAAATGGAAAAATTGCAAAATTTTTAGTTTCCGTTCTCTAACTTAAGTTTGCCTCAACAAATGTTATGAACCTTATACTAAATGCTTACTACCACAAAACACAGATCAAGTTTGAATTTTGGTGGCGTCACTTTAACCGTTCTAGAGTTATGCCCCTTTATAAATGGAAAAATTGCAAAATTTTTAGTTTCCGTTCTCTAACTTAAGTTTGCCTCAACCAAATGTTATAAAACTTATACACAATGCTTATTACCACAAAACACAGATCAAGTTTGAATTTCGGTGGCGTCACTTTAACCGTTCTAGAGTTATGCCCCTTTATAAATAGAAAAATTGCTAAATTTGTATTTATATTTTCTTCTAAATATCAAGTAATTTTTAAAATTGGAGTTATCTTCCTTTGTCCATTATAGTTGAATATACAATGTAATGTTTAATTTTGACTTCCACTGATAAAACACAGATCAAGTTGAATTTGGGTAGTGTCACTTTAACCATTATTGAGTTATGCCCTTTATAAATCGAAAGATTGCAAAATTTTTAGTTGTCATTCTGTAACTTAAGTTTGCCCCAACCAAACATTACGAAACCTATACACAATATTCATCACCACAAAACTAAGATCAAGTAAAAATTTTTTGTTTCAGTTTTCTAACTTTAGTTTGCCTCAACCAAATGTTATGAAACTTATACACAATGCTTATTACTACATAATACAGATTAAGTACGAAATTTGGTGGCGACACTTTTACCATTCTTGAGTTATGTCCCTTTATAAACATAAAAATTGCTGAATTTTTTAGTGTGTCTCAACCAAATGTTATAAAACTTATACACAACCGTTCTAGAGTTATGCATGTTTACAAATAGAAAAATTGCAGAATTTTTAGTTTCTGTTCTCTTAAATTAGCCTCAACCAAATGTTATGAGACTTACACACAATGCTTATTACCACAAAACTCAGATCAAGTTCAAATTTGGGTAGCGTCACTTTTACCGTTCATCAGTTATGTCCCTTTATAACTATATGATATGCAAGCGGGGGCATCATCTGTGTCCACAAATGGACACTATCCACATTTATTTTCATATTATTTACTTTATTTCTCTGTTGCTTGTACCTCAAAATATCATTTTCAATCTTGGATTTAACTGCCTTTTTTCTTAATCGGTCTCGAATTCGAATTTCTCGTCATATGTCGTTATTGAACCAGTGAGTGTTTGTCGTTATGTCTTACAGACAGTTATTCGTTTAGTAGGGATACACTCTTTAGCTATTTTCAGAAATTCTATTGTAAATATTTCACACAACTCGTTGGTGTATTTAGTGTCCGGAAGCACTGTGTTCCAGTCTATTTCATCTAACTTCTCCGCAAATTTTGATTTATCAGCCCTATCATAAAGCCATATTTCTCTTTTAAAAGATTTAAAATCGGACATTGGACATTCGAGAAATGCAATAGGTGCATCATGATCAATAATAGCGGATGGGGTATTTAGAACATTAGAAAAGGAACATGTCATAGAGTCACTTATTATAATCGGATCTAGCAGAGTGCTACTATGGTCCGTTATTCTAGTAGGTAACTCAATTACATTGGTTAGATGGAATAAATTTAATGTGTCAATCAGTTTGTTGTTGTGCGCTGTAGGTAAGTCAGAGTTCAAATCGCCCGTAATAACCATCCTCTCATTGACCTGTAATCCCATTACGATTGCATGATTTAAACGTGTCCAGTAGTTATTATCTGAATTAGGTATTCATGTTATGATAAAAATAGAAAAATTCAGTCAAAATTTTGTATTCCTAAATCATTATGGAATTAAAAGTAAACTTGAAAAAAAGTTCTTCATCGATTTGAAATGAACTTTTGATTTAGGCCAAATAAAATAGTATGTGTGGTTCCAGTTACATCTAAAAAAAAGTTATGGTAAGTAGGTGGGGAATTTTGGTTATCTTATGTTTTATTTTTACATTGAGTCTCTGGGAGCAACATTCTGACTTTAACAGAGATTAATGAAAAATGACAAAAAAATCTTTAGGGTAGGCTATTAAGAGGGAGAAAGTTAATTGAGGGAATCCACTTCATCGCTTATAATTCTAATTAAATTGCACAAATTTCTAAGCTTTGACTGTTTTGATACATTCATAA